TCACCTCAGCCTCCCAAAGGTGCGGGATTACAGGCTGAGCCACCGAGCCTGGCTGTATCTCTATTTCTGAGAATCAGGGGAGTACAGTGTTAACAGACTTGGGAGGTCAGATTGCCTGGGCCTGAGTTCTGGCTCTTGCATTTACTCACTCTACAATATGGATACATCACTTAGTGTCTCTGTGCCTCAGTTTCTTCAAATGCAAAATGAAGGCAGCAACATCTAACTCACAGGGTTTTTGTAAGGTTTATATAAATAAGTGCTCAGAATGATGCCTGGCACAGAGTAACTGCTATTTAGGTGTTCGCTGTTTATACATACCATCTATATACACAAATAGGTAAAACGGGAACCACAGTCTAATGCGACTTTACAGGCACAGGAGACATGCATGAGGTGGAGACGCACCCATGTGAGGACAGCAGTGATCTTTAGGGAAGGAGGATGGGTACAGGGTTGGAAAAATCTACAAAGGGCGCTGCAAGTATATGTTTTTAAAGCATGTGCTCTTTAAGAAACGGGTCGGTCAGGCTCGGTGGCTCAGCCTGTAATCCCAGCACTTGGGAGGCCGAGGTGAGTGGATTGCCTGAGCCCGCGGGTTCAAGACCCACCTGGGCAACTTGACGAGACCTCATTTCTACAATAAATCAAAAATAAGCCGGGCGTGGTAGCACGTGCCTGTGGTTCCAGCTACTTGGAAGGCTGAGGTGGAAGGATCGCCGGAGCCCAGCAGGTCAAGGCTGCGGTGGCTGTGAGCATGCCACTGCTTTCCAGCCTGGGCAGCAGAGTGAGACTCCAGTTCAGAAAAAAAAAATGTGAGGGTTGGGGGGAGGAAATGTGGTACATATATATGATGGAATATTTCACAGCCATAAAGAAGTTCAAAATTATGAACTCTGCAACAACTTGGGTGGATCACTGAGTCCATTAATACTCAGTGATCTATCACAGAAACTAAGAACTGGGTACCTCATGTTCTCACTCATAAGCAGACCCTGAACATCTATCATAGTACTACAAGAAAAAGACAGGCAGTAGTGGGAAACTGCCTGGGAGGGGGGGACGGACATACTTCATCAATAAGGACACCTGACCTCACTCCAGGTGAAGTAGGGACGAAAGTGAGGCCCAAACTTTACCTGTACAATGACCATTTGCAAACCTAACACTCAATTGTACCCCACATCTTTCGAGTAAAATATTAAAAACAAAAAGAAATGGATCTGAAAAATACGGCAAGATGTTAACAAATATTAAATGTGGGCAGTGGGTAAACTGGTATATGTTATTATATAATCTCTGAACTTCTGTGTATGTTTGAAATATTTCATAAAGCACTTTGAATCATAATTTTACTCAAAATGACTTTTAAAAATCTGTAAGTTTAAAAACAGAGAGGGCTGGAGATCAGTGGGGGACTTACCCCAGCTCGTCTCATGACATCTACAGGGATGACAGTCTCCATTTCCTCTGCTCCCTTAGCCAAGATGACCAGAGCTCTTTTGGAAGCCATTTTTGTTCTATTTGTTAAAAACTTAAAAAAAGAAAAAGATTTCAGAAAACATTCATTGCAACCCTGGAATACACCACATTTTAAAGTGTAGGAAAATTTTCAAGCATCTCCTAGGGGAAAGGTTCTGATGGACACACGATTGACTATGGGAAAAAAAACAGCGTTTTGGGTAAATATCAGTTTACATGGTAGAGTTTCAACTGTTCCATCTCTAAGATGAAACTAGTGAGGCTGCTTGCAGGTGTCAGGGTTGTTTAGATTTCCTTCCACCGCATTTCCTTAAGTTCAGTCTCTAATAACATATTGCAAACTACATTTTCTAAAATACAAGTAGTCAGGTGCAGCGGCTCACACCTGTCATCCCAGCACTTTGGGAAGCAGAGGCAAGAGAACTGCCTAAACCCACGGGTTCGAGACAAGCTTGGGCAATTTGGCGAGACCTAACCTCTTCAATAAATCAAAAAATTAGCTGGGTATGGTGGCATGCGCCTATGATTCCAGCTGGTTAGAAGGCCGAGGTGGAAGAATCACCTGAACCCAGCAGGAAGAGGCTGCGGTGACCGTGAGCATGCCACTGCCCTCCAGCCTGGGCCACAGAGGGAGACTCTGACTCAAAAAAAAAAAAAAAAAAAAGGTTTTTTTGCTGGATGTGGTGGCTCCCACACTTGAGAAGGCAGAAGAGAGGTCTGCCTGAGCCCAGGGGTTCGAGACCAGCCTGGGCAACTTGGCGGGACTCCATCTCGACAATAAATAAAAAACTAGCCAGGCATGGTGGTGCAGGCCTGTAGTTCCAGGCTTGGAAGGTCAAGGCAGAAGGATCGCCTGAGCCCAGCAGGTGGAAGCTGCAGTGGCCGTGAGCGTGCTACTGCCCCCCAGCCTGGGCGACAGAGACTCCAACTCAAAAAAGAACACACACACACACACACACCAAACACAAGTGCGTGGGTCCTGCGTTTCACGCCACCAGGGGAGACACAGGCTTTCTGCAAGTACTACTTCGGAGAAATGACGACAGCTCACGGGCAAAACTGTAAATTCAGTGTTTAACGACTAGCCTGCAAGAGTTTTGGAGGGGATTTCTTTTTTTCTTTGGCTTCAATAACTATACTGAAGACGGAGGGGGGCGGTTAGCAGCGTGAAACACCTGCGCCTTCTTGCAACCGAGACGTCCGGGGCAGAGCGCTCCCGCCGCGGCCACAGCAGCGACGCGAGGG